TGGGACCTCCTGATATTTTTGACCTTTAGAGTCAAGCTCAAACTAATCAGACACCATCCTTGTGGTTAGTTTATATCTATATTTATTGCTCAAATACATGGAAAATTAAATTAAATTGATATAATAATTAGTATTACCAAAAATTACGATGCTTATAAAAATATAGTCTTATGAAGCTCTAAGGTTTCGTTTGATTTGTAGGAATATAATGGATTTGGAGGATTTGAATTTCAAATTCATTCTAATCTCATGTTTGGTTTGTTGGATTGTCCGGATTTGAACTTTTAAGATTTAATTGAAATCCTACATACATAGGATTTTGAAATCCTTAGAGAGTTCTCGAGATTTCGTATGATTGTATAAAATAAGGTTTTAGAAAATGTTGAAAACATTTGTTTTGTTAAAACTGATTAATAGAAATGTTATTTTATCAATGTTATTGATTATTTAACAAAAACCCTGAAGGTTTAGGCTAAATCTGTTAATTAATTAAACCACAAGGGTGGTGCCTGATTGGTTTGAGCTTGGTTCCAAATGTCAAAAGTACCAGGAGGTCCCAGATTCAAATCCAATGAGGAATAAAAATCCCCTTGTGGCTACGGAGGTTCAAATACGCTGACTCCGAGCTATCTGCAAAGCAGATGATCGTTCTAGAATTAGTCGACTCGCATAACGGGTTGGATATCCAGGTTAATCAAAAAAAATATATGTTAATCAATTAACGAATAAACGTGAAAATATGGGGTTGATACTTGATAACGATGGGTGTATTTAAGAATAAAGTGATGATTAACTTGTAAAAGCAAATTTTCTTTTTGAATAATAAGCATAATTAATGGATAATTAGGTTAAATTAGATGCATGTGTGAATCCCACGTGGGTACATTAAAACCATGTAATAAATTTCTTTTAATTTTAGATTGTTTTATTAATTATATCGTAAAATTTATATACATGTAATTTTTTTAAAACTACCTCATCAATTAAAGATTTGATGAAAGCATGGTATTGGATAAAATGATATGATATAGCTATAAGTAGGGGTGTTTAAAAATCCGACCAACCTGATGAACCCAACCCAACATGAAATAAGTCAACCCGAAGCTACTAGATGTCTAATCGAGTTGTAAAATTGTTAAACCGTATGTATTCGGTTGATATTAAGTTACTATTATTTGAACCCAACCCAACCTGATGAACCTGATATCCTTTTATTTCTTGGATTTAATATGATTGTTGAATTTCTATTAATATGAATTTAGACAATTACATTATCATGTATACTCTTTATATACACATATTTTCAATTTATTCACATCTTTATATAACTCATTCGTATATATGTTCAGTAACTGTGAACATATATATGTAAATTGAGAAAATTAACTGAATGTGATATACGTAAGAAGTTGTATCAAATGGTTGATTTTGAGAAATAACATTTTCTAGGTTAGAAGACTATTTTAATGTATTAAATTATCAACCCGACCAACCCGTAAGGGTTGGGTTGCACTTTGGTTCGAGGTTGGATTGGGGTAAGATTTTTCAAACCGCAAGCATTGGGTTGAGTTGTTCAAATGTCTTCAACCCGATCAACCCAACCCATGAGCAACCCTAGTTATAAGAGTAATTTACATTTTTAGTCCCTATGATTTGTTGGAAATTTCTATTTTCATTTTTGTGATTTTGAAATTATAATTTTCATTCACATGGTTTTATAATTCATTATTGTTTTCGTTCTAATAGTTAAAACTTACGTTTTTAGTCCCTATAATTCTTTTCTCATCCATATGATTTACAATTCATTTCTATTTTAGTACTTTATACTTAAAAGTAGTGTTTAGCCTCATGAACAAAAATAAAAATGAATTACAAACCATAGAGACGAAAATCAAAATTTCAAAACTACAAGGACAAAATCCACGATTTGTAACAAACCACGGGGATGAAAAACGTAATTTACTCTAATTATAATTAGTATTGGAAACTTATGCAATAAACATTAATAAATTGGATAACTGTGGGTATCTTGACCAGTACGCTTCGATTAATTATGTGGCATACTGAAGTTAACAGCCATATAAACATATGCTGGTCATGAAGGAATTTAAACTGCCACTTATAAACTAGTTTTTCTAATATCATGACAGTTGGTATTGGTAACAATTCTTGTGACAACGTTCTACTTCGACGTCGTTGGTGACGGTGAGTTGGTGATACAATGGTGCATCGACAATGGCAACGTCGATCCGCATAAGGTAATCAAGTTGACTTTCGTTATTTCACTTGATTTGTGGGGCTTAGTTTTTAGATGGATTGGTTTTTTTTCCTAACCTACTCATGTACGGTCATGTATTTGATCAATCGTCGATGGTTCATTGACTTCATTCATAGTTGGTGAAACATCTGCCAACAATTGAAACAGTTTTCAAAGGAAACTGTGGTTTATGAATGTTAGGAATCTTGTTAGAGTCTCACATTGATTAGACATAGTTGCCCTTAATGTATGCTGGAACCTTTATTCCCTTCTCAACGATTGTTTCAGAAAGTAATCTGATACGCTTCCACGTATTTCACATGGTTTTAGAACCAACATCTACTTTTTGACACTTATGCTCGATGCTCAACACTTTAGGACATATGTGCATGTCTAACCTACGTTAACCACACATATGCTATACTTGGACCTTTTTTTGGTTTATTGGATCCTGTATTATTTTATTAAAAGCTATTTTCAAAGGATAATATTATCTCACAAAGTTCAAATATTCAATGGAAATACTAAGGGGCTGTTTACAAAATGCTTATCCTGGTAAGCATTTACCAAGTGACATTACCTCACCGGATGAATATGGTAAGGATCACGAATCTTACCCGGTAAGAGCGAAACAAAGACCATGAGTCTTACCCGGTAAGTGAAGACGATGACTCTTACCAATGTAAGCGCTTACCGGATAAATTGTTGTATATGATGTCGTTCTGGTGAACTAAAATCTTACCCGATAAGTAATAATAGTGTTAGATTTTACTGATAAGTACTTATCAGATAAATGTTTGATAAACGACCATTAATAAGTAATAATTGGTAATGAATGCAAACACCGCCAATTTTACTGAAAAATGCATTAATTGGAAACAAGTTCATTGCAAAAAACATATCAATTACATTTTTTATGCAATTAACTTTTTTAAAGTTTTACGGCAGGTTTTTAGGTCCCACAATAAAGTAATTACTTTTTAAAGTATATTTGCTTTTAATATATTAAAATTTAAGTACATTTATTTTTTAAATATACAATATAATATATACTTTATTTTTCTATATTATATTGTAACGCATTTGACAAAACTCTTAAAATCATTTTTTATGCAGAAAGTACTGTTTATTGATATATATTACTTAAAATTCAATATTACAAGTAATTTTGTGTAATTACAACTTATTAAAGCTTTATTTTTAAATTCATGTAACTAATTGTAGGTAAATATAATTAAATACATGACAAACATTTATTTTAAATATAAAAAATCTAAAATATAATTAAAATAATTATTGAGTTCTAACAGATTGTTTAGTTATTATCTTTATCAAAAATTATATTATTAAACTAAAAATAAATTACTTTGTTATTGAATCTAAATTAAATTATAATAAAAAATTAAATTAAAGAAGTTACAACAGAAAATTGAATGAGATATTTTATTCTTGTCGTTTGACATTCGAGATTCTCTAGTTCTCGAATTCCAGGATTTATCCATAAGCATCCGATTAGCGGTATGTTTTGGCCGCTAGTTTTGATTTTGCCAAATTGATTCGTATCAAATTGGTATCAGAGCATCGGTCTTGCGCATGTGATTTTGTCCACACCACCATGACCAAAGTTCAGGATCTTGAAGCTGAGTTGACCCAAGAACTATTAAATAGGTAATTTGGTATTAATATCGATTTATTTTTGTCAAATTTTTATGCTATCTTCAAATTTATATTTCATTCAAAAATAAAAACATTGTTGTTTTCGTAAAACCACATAAAATCATATCATATCGATAAAGACAAAACACAAAAACTAAACATTAAAATCGAGATTTATCTCACGATATTGCGCGAGTACCCTTATAGTTCATACAAAATCAACCATTTATTATAATCTGGATATTAATGAAAAAATATTTTAAATTAAGAAACAATCGAGATATTTATGAAACAAAATATTCATTAGACTAGACGGTTAAATTACTTTGTTTGATTTATATAAATGACATAATTTATATTTTAAACTCTCTCACATTAATTATATTATTAAAATATTATATTATCCATATCATATTATAAAACATTTAACAAAAACTCTTAAAACCCAATTTTTATGCATAAAGTATTGTTTATTGATACATATTACTTAAAATTCAAGATTACAAGTAAATTGTACGTAACTACAACTTATAAAAGCTTTATGTTTGAATTCGTGTAACTAACTGCAGATAAACAAACATCTCATTAATTATAAAAAATCTAAAATATAATTAGAATAATCATTAGGTTCTATCAGAATACTTAGTTATTATTTTTATAAAAAATTATATTATTATATAAAAAATAAAATGATACGTTATTAAACTTATAAAATTATATTATTAAACCAAAAAAATTATATTATGTTATTTTTCAAATTTTTGTGATATTTTTAAATTTATATTTGTATCAAAAAATAAAAACATTATTGTTTTCTTAAAACTACATAAAATCGTATTCTGACATCGATAGAGATAAGAATAAAACGAAACATTAACATTGATATGTATCTCGGTGCATTACGGGAGTACATTTCTAATAATATATAAAAGAAACAATTAAAATAATATTTTTTTCATCAATAATAAGTTTTGGAAATTTTTCTAATTGAGATTTTTCTACTCTGTTTTTTTTTTATATTTTAACGTACATTTTACTGAAGCGAGAGCACCCATTTGGAGAGTAAAGTAGCAGGTGAAAATTGGAAAGAGTTCGGAAGAATCATCGATTTCGATTTCATATTTCAGAAGAATATATACAGATGAAAATGGAGGGATTTTGATTTGAATTTTAATACATAGGAACAACTATATGCGGTGGTTTCGATGGCTTCGGAACCTGTTCTACGGTGATCTTCACTTCTCGCGGCGGTTCACACGGACACGGCAATGCTATGAACTTCGCAATTCGATCTCCCGGCATTATTACCGGCAAACTCTGTTTCTCTGTTTCATTCTTTTCCTGTTCATCAAACTTTACACATTAGAATTCATAAGAAGAAAACATTAATGGCGGACGGAGAGTTTTGATTCAGTTGAACGAATTACAAACCATGTAATTCGTAATCGAGATTGTTAAATAATTACCGAGAATGTAGTATTCGGTTTGGAAGGCGAGTCGTCGGAATCGAGATCAGATCCGCGGAGATGCCGGAGCTTGTCCCAGTGGTAACAACATGAGAAGAAACCGCTGAGGCTGAATATGATGATCAATAGTAAGGCGGTGCCGAGAGGAAACCCTAAGGTCGGTCGAGACGAATCGGAATGTTGTTGCGGCGGTTCGAAATAAGGAGGAGATTCCACGAATCTGAGAACAACTTCCATGGCTGTTAAAGCAACGATTAGTGATGAGGATGATTGTATTTGTTACGGATATAGATTCTCTGGTAGTATCATTCAAGGTATAGGTGGAAGACAAAAATGGCGGACGTCCGATTAGAGACAAGATCGTAGAAGTGAAGTGATGCAGATAGTGGAGAGGATGGGGATGAAGATTTATAGATGATGGAGGGTTAGTGGGTGCATGCGTGTAAAGGGGGACCGCCGTTTGTCCCGTCCGGGGAGCGGTACGGATGGAGGATCGGTAGTGGAGGTAGGTTTTTTTTCTATATTCTCCCTCATTTATATTAAATTTTTCTAGTTATTCTTTACATAATAATTTAAGATACTTAACATTTTAGTCCACCAAAATGGTATTGTATGCAACAACTAATTTGGTAAGTGCTAACCGTGGTAAGAGTCATCATCGTAACTTACAGGGTAAGACTCTCAGTCATTGCACTACTAAAAAAAAGGGCATCACCGACGGATTTTTCTGGCGGAAATTCCGTCGGAAATATTACCGACGGATTACCGACGGATACCAAAAAAGTCAAAAACAATCAACTTTTATCCATATCCGCCAAAGATCCCCCACAAATCCCTCACTGAATTTATCGGAAAAAAATTAAAATTATTTAAAACGGTTTTTCAACGGATTTCTGACGGATTTTTTTACTTATTCTAAACCGTCACAAATCCGTCGGAAATCCGTCGCAAAATTTGTCTAATTTATTTAAATCAACTAATTAGAGTTAATTAAAAACAATTTCCGAAGGATTTCCGACGGCATTTTAATTTTTTTTTTTTAAATTAAAATTCCGTCGGAAATCCGTCAGAAATATTTAAAAATGTTTTATTTTTATATTTCTTTTTAAATTAAAGTTAAGGAAATAAAAAACACATTTTTAAAAATTTCCGACGGAATTTTAATTTTTTTTTTAAAAAATAAAATTCCGTCGGAAATATTTAAAAATGTTTTATTTTTATATTTCTTTTTAAATTAAAGTTAAGGAAAAGAAAAATAAAAAACACATTTTTAAAAATATTTTATTTTTATATTTCTTTTTAAATTAAAGTTAAGGAAAAGAAAAATAAAAAACACATTTTTAAAAATATTTTATTTTTCTTTTAAAATTAAAGTTAAGGGGAAAAAAAATAAAAAACACATTTTTAAAAATTTCCGACGGATTTCCGACGGAATTTTTTTTTTTTAAATTAAAATTCCGTCGAAAATCCGTCGGAAATTTTTAAAAATATTTTATTTTTCTTTTTCTTTTTAAATTAAAGTTAAGAGAAAAAAAAATAAAAAACACATTTTTAAAAATTTCCAACGGATTTCCGACGGAATTTTTTTTTTTAAAAAAAAAAATTAAATTCCGTCGGAAATTTTAAAAATGTTTTTATTTTCTTTTTAAATTAACGTTAAGGAAAGAAAAATAAAAAAAACATTTTTTAAAATTTCCGACGGATTTCCGACGGAATTTAATTTTTTTTAAATAAAAATTACATTCTGTCGAAAATCCGTCGGAATTTTTTTAAAATATTTTATTTTTCTTTTTCTTTTTAAATTAAAGTTAAGGAAAAAAAATAAAAAAACACATTTTTATATATGTACATGCATCTCGTTCAATTGGGATTTAACGAGTACTCTTGGGTTCTATTTGCGCATTAACGGGTACTACTGGCTTTTATTCGGTTCAATTGCGCATTAACGGGTACTATTGGGTTCTATT